AGAATGTCAGTATTTAAGTTCTGAAATAATTAAGCATCAATTTAAGGCCCAAAATAAGCTTACTCAAGTTACTTTTTGTGTGTTTAATTAATTTTTTGGGTGTTAAGTTCTAGAAAGTTAACATTTTCAATAAAAGCTTTTGTAATAAAGATGAATGTTATTACACAAATTATTTTAAAAAAAAAAAGATAAATCAACTGCTCACAAACTTTTCTATATTCAAATAAACTTGTTAAAAAAAATATTGGCGGATCGAAGTCCAACTCTATCCCAAGCTTTTCGAGCTGGGTTGAACCAAGATTTGACCGATTCAAGCTCGAAAAGTTTAATAACAACGTTTTTCTCAATGAATACAAAACAATAAGGGCCCGTTTGGTATACGGAATTGATGGAATTGGAATTGAAATTCCATGAGATTCAATTCCATAGAATTGAATTCTGCCAATTCCAATTTATTTTTTGCACTATCAATTCCAAATCTACATAATTTTTGTGCTAGCAAACACCAGAATTGGAATTGAAGTCCTCAATTCCAATTCCATAGTTTGAATTCCGTGTACCGAACGGGGTCTAATAATTTTTAATCAAAACTAAAGCAAAAGCTTGCTTAGTTAAGAAAAGTAACAATAACAACACTATTTAGTTCTACAAGACTTTAATGTGTTGCTGTAAACTGTAATAGAGTTAATAGTGATAAAAAATAATGCTTTTTATGCAAATTAAATAACACTACATGTTTCACCAAGCTTCTCCAAATACCAAAGTATGTACTATGTACTCCGTAATAGTCCGTATTACACAATTCAAATCTCTTTAATTAAAAACTCATCCATAAGTGTAGAAGCTCATATTAGAGTTTATTGCTTCAATATCACTACATGTGGTTTTACAAATATGCAAAATTACCCTTTCCTGCTTTCAAAATTTATATCATTTCTCTTCTTGGTTGTGATATTCTACGTCAATGTCTTTCTAGAATAAAATACCCTTTAAATCTTAGGTGAATATATAGTTTTCTTGCCCGCCTCATGTGGTTTTGGAAATGGACACCACACCCCCTCTCTTTTTTCTTTGTTTGTTATCTTTCTGCTCTTTTTCATAAATGTTTTTTAAATTCTTTTAAAATGTACTGTTTTTAAAAATGTTTTAAAAATAAAATTTTTTGTATATTTGAAATAAAAATTGATGAAAAAAAAAGAATCTAATACTCCCTCCGTTTTCAAAAACTCTTCCTCTTTCATTTTTTTTTACTTCCAACAAAACACTTCCACTTTCTTTTAAAAAATCACTTTTACCCTTACTTTTTCATACCCTACCTATCACATCATACTTTTTCTCTAATACTCAATCCATCACATCTTACTTTTACCCATCACATCAAGGGCAAAATTGGAAGTCAACTACAATTTAACACTTTCTTATTTTTACACAAAGTCAAAATAGGAACACTTTTAAAAAACGGAGGGAGTAGTAAACTTCATTTGCCTCACAGTAAAAAAAAATTAGTTTTTGTTCGAAAAAGGTCCTTAATTTTTTTTTTGAATGTATTGGAAGAAAAACTATATATACAGTAAAGATTTTTCGGAACGATGCCCAACAGATTCTCTTCTGTGCATTTTTCAAATAACCAAAATAAATAAAATAAAAAGATATAGAGTGGCAAACAGCTAAAGGTGTATCAAATTAAATAAAAAGCTAAATAAAGGAGACACTAACTTAATTTTTTTTCTATTTTCCAAGTATAACAAAAAAAATTAAAAACAGCTAAAGGCCAAAGCCATGTGGGAAGGTCGCAATCCAACAAATGCTACATACTAGGAGACCCATGTTCACAAGCTAGGAAAATATGGAGTGTGGAAGCTAAGAACATGCACAATGTGTGTTGAATTTTTTTTTTTAAAATTCTGCATAGGAGTGTGTTTTTGAGCTCTTTTTTTTCAATTATCATACCTCATCTTTTAGACTTTAGACTTTGATTATTACTTAATGTGTGTTACAAACTTTTTCCTCTTTCTTTTTTATATCACATCATTTATTTTCTTTTCTATTAAAAATATTTTTACTCATACTAATTTGTATCGTACTTATTATCACATCCTATCTATATATTCACTAAAAATTTACTTATCACATCTTATTTTAATGCATCACATCAAAGATAATCTAAAAGACTCAATACAAAAATATGATATACTTCCTCCGTCCCAAAAAGATTTACACGTCTTGACTAAAGTTGAAATTAAGGGAGGGATATTTTTGTGCTGACTTTCCAAAAATACCCTTGATGTGATGGGTAAAAGTAGGATGTGATGTGTAAATTATTAGGAAAAAGGTATGATGTGATAGGTAGGGTTTGAAAAAGTAAGAGGTAAAAATGATTTTTTAATAAAAATGAGAAGGAGATTGTGGGACGCAATTCTTTTGAAACGTGTATGTCTTTTTGGGACGAAGAGAGTATATGGTTTGATAAGTTCTCCAAAACAGCTTCTACTATACCCATAATAAAGTAAATAATAGGATGTATTTTAGACATTTTAGGGGTAGGTAAAAGTGTTTTATGTAGTGTGCAAAAAATTAGATCGAACGGAAGTGTTTTCAAGAATGGAGAGAATAATATTTTCAAACTTTTTTCAATTTCTTTATAACCTTTTTTAGATTTTCCAACTCATGGCTTCTCCCAACTCTTTCAAAATTTTCATCTCCTTCAAGTTTATTCCCACTCATGGTACATTTTAAACAAAAATTGATTCGTTTAATTAAATAAGTAACAAATAACACTCTTCTTAATAAAGAGGAAAATATTAATAGGAAAATTCTTTTCAATCGATTTCAAATTTAAATATTCCAAGAACATATTCACATATACAATAATATTACTGCCATGAAATAATTATAATATTAAGATTACTTCATCCCAAGCTTTAATCTTTAATTTCCTCCTTAATCTTTTAATTTATTTCATCTACATATTCCATTAATGATCTGATATTCTGATCCATGTCATTAGCACAACATGCATGTTCTTGCCACGAAATAAAGTTTTACAGAGTACTATTTATTTACTCCATATTTAACTATTTTGTTAATTAATGTAAATTAACTGCTGTTGTCTAGTGGCTTGCAATTTTTTTAAATATATAGGATGCATGGGATTTGGGTATATGATTAAGATACATATAATCACAATAATAATGATGCATGTTAATTGATCAAAAAAAAATAATGATGCATGTTAAAATATTAATTTAATCTATTGGTCTTGCACAAAGATAATTATATTGACTCACTGGTCATGTCTTCACGCCATCACTAGCTAGCTTTGATCTTTTCCAAAAACTATATATTCCCTCAGTCCCTCATAAATTTTCTCAATAGCTTTTTTTCTTTGTCCACAATAGATCTTCTCATTTCATTTTTTAACAATTAAAATACCACAACTACCTCCATTTACTTTATTTATTACACCTCACTCACCTCATTTAATACACTCCACCCATTTTTCATTAAGGGTATTATGGTAAACTTTCACCTTTTTTCAACTCTCCTTAAAAACCACCAAAAGTCAAAATGAGAACATCTTAGGGGGACAGAGGGAGGGAGTATGTAAATTAAATAATTTTGTATGAAATCTTTTTAGATATTAGTATATGATCTGTTTTGTTCTTTTCCAATTCATTCACAGCATGCATGTACTTCATGGTGCACTATATATAATCTCCCTCCATAATTGGATTGATATAATAAGAAATTACTCCCTCCGTCCCACTGTCTTTGTCCACTTTTGACTTTTGAAACTGTTCATCTAAACACTTTGACTTATCAAATTCTCCCAATGTGTAAGCCTAAATATAGTCATGTGTGATCTTGTTTGATTTGTCTTAACATATACTTCATCCGTCCCATTAAAGATGTGACTTTTACTTTTTAGGAGGGATTTAAGGGGAGTGTATTTTGGTATTGAATTTCCAAAAATGTCCTTTGATGTGATGGGTAAAAGTATGATTTGATGGATAGATTATTAGTAAAAAGGTATGATGTGATAGTTAGGGTATGAAAAAGTAAGGGGTAAAAGTGACTTTTTAATAGAAATAAGAAGTGTTTTGTGGGACGGATAAAAAAAGAAAAGAGAAAGGTTTAATGGGACGGAGGGAGTAGATTATTAATATATAATTTCTATAATTTTTTAATATACAAATTACAAATAAAATGGATTAAAGAAGTGCATTGGATGGTGTGCCAAAAGATAAGTGGACAAAGACAGTGGGACGGAGGTAGTATATATTATTCCATCAGTTCTTGACTATTTGTTTACTTTTGACTTTTTTCGATCAAAATTAATAAATTTTGACATCAAATTTAATAAAAATGACATTAGATATTGATAAAAAATTAGTTTTATTAGATTTATTATATCAAACATTGTCAAAATATTATATCAAACATTGTCAAAATACTCCCTTCGTCCCAAAAAACCTTTCTCCTTTCCTTTTTCATCCGTCCCAAAAAACACTTCTCATTTCTATTAAAAAGTCACTTTTACCCCTTACTTTTTCATACCCTAATTATCACATGCATCATGTCTTTTTACTAATAATCTATCCATCAAATCATACTTTTACCCATCACATCAAAGGACATTTTTAGAAATTCAATGCCAAAATACACTTCCCTTAAATCCTTCTCCAAAACCAAAACTTCCTTGTTTTCCGGGACGGAAGCAGTATATATTTTATTTAATTATATGTTAAAGATTAGAAAGAATTGACCAAAAAAGTCAAAACTAGACAAATACTTAGTGACAGATGTGATATTTGAATATGGCTAGTTAGCATGCAAGTTATGATTCTCATATAAATAGATAATACTAAAGGAATGTTTGGCACTGCAGTGATTTGAAGAATTTAATTTCTATTTTGTGAGGTAATTTTGTTTGACATATCAGCTTCTATTTTTCTCCACTATCATTTTACGTATAGAACATCGTTTCGAAGTAACACTACAAGAATGTAAGTGCAGAATAGACAGAAAAAAGAGACAGATTTATGTCTCACATAGAGAGACAGAAAAAAGGAACAGAATTCCGTCTCAAAAACTAAAGACCGAAAAAAGAGACGGATATCTGTCTCAGAAGTTGAGACAAGTATGAGAGACCAATATCCGTCTCTTGATGAAGCTTATATTTTTAGTAGAGTATCTTGTGTTTAGAAGTCATTCTTTTCTTATCTTCCAATCTTTAATATACTTTTCTTTTTATGAATTTTTATTCTTCCTTAAACATTATCTTTCATTTTTATTTTATTTACCTATTTATACTCATCTTGAATATGAGGACTATCCTCATTCAAAAATCTTTTTATTGCTTCTACTTCATCAGAAAATTTACAGTCTCATATCTCAAGTATGTAATTATATTTTATAGAATATTGGATTTTGAGTTATTCTTTGTTTATTATTATTATTATTATTATTATTCATCTATTAAAATGCAAGAGTTGTATATTTAAATCAATTTTTAGATAATAAATTTTTGTAGTTACGTTTAGTTTAATTATGTTATTGATTGAAATACTTCTTCATTTAATTTATAAAAAAATTAGTTATTATTCCTTTTTCGGACATTAATTATTATTCTTTACACATGCTTAATATTTTTTTTGTAAAAGGTGGATAGTAGTGAGGTTGAGAATCTCAAAGCAGAACTGGAGAAGAAAGATGCAGCCTGGAAAGGAAAAATAGAGAGTTTAGAAAAAAAATTGGAAAAAACAAAAATGGCTCAACGAGAAGAAAGAAAACGTCATCGCGAGGTTGAAGAAGAAATGGATGATTTAAGAAACAAAATGAGGTCATTCAATGCATCAATGTCAAATGTTTATCGAGGACTAATAAAAAGAGGAATAATTCAAGAGAGTGAAGTGAATACTTTCCTAGTTGCTAGTGGATCTAAATCTGGAAGCAAAAAGAAACTCCCTCGGCCATCAAGAACAGAACAGCCCCCCTTTGAACCTTTTTCAAATGATAGTGAGGACTCAGACAATTCATTATGCTCTTCAGATGATGATGAGTTGGATCACAGGTAGATTCAAAATTTAAAAAAAAGCAAGTATTCAATGAATGTAGATGTAGAAGAAGATGAAGAGTAAACGCTCTGCAAGCACACAAGTAATGATGACATTGTCATAAATAAGAGCTTGGTACAATGATGTTTTTGAGTCTTGGACATGTTGAAGAATGAATTTGTTTTGAGGAAGTATGTTTGCTGCAATTACATTGTTTTGGATCATGATGAATGTGTTTATTTAATGTTATTTCTTTGGTGTACTTATTTGTAAAAAAATTGATGTTTTGTAGCAAGTTTTAGATCACATTGGACATGTGTTACAATATTAAGATTGTTTAAGACATTTTTTTGTTGGGTTGCTTTATTCTAAAAAAAGTAAAAAATATTGTTCCAATAACAGCAATTAATATCAGTAATTTGTTTTTAGGCTATTAATATCAGCAATTTGTTTTTTTAATATTTAGATTTTGAGACAGATTTTAGTCTCTAAAATGAATAATTTTGAATTATGGCTGGCCAAGTTTATACACATAAGAGACGGAATTCTGTCTCTTTTCTATGCCGTCTCATTTCCGTCCCAAAAAAAAAGAAACGGAATTCTGTCTCATTTTTATGCCGTCTCATTTCCGTCCCAAACAAAAAGAGACGGAATATTCCTGTCTCAAATTAAAAGAGACGAAATTAATGAGACTGATGAATTCGTCTCTTTTTCGTCTCACGTTCGAGACAATTATGAGACTAAATTACCGTCTCTTTTCTGCCTGCATTCTTGTAGTGTAACAGATACTCCCTCCGTCCCGGAAAGCATGTGAGTTTTGATTTTGAAGATGAATTTAAGGGGAGTGTATTTTGGTATTGAATTTCCAAAAATGTCCTTTGATGTGATGGATAAAATCATAAAAGTATGATTTGATGGATAGATTATTAGTAAAAAGGTATAATGTGATAGGTAGAGTATGAAAAAGTAAGGGGTAAAAGTGACTTTTTAATAGAAAAGAGAAGTGTTTTTTGGGACGGATGAAAAAAGAAAGGAGAAATGTTTTCAGGGAAGAAGGGAGTATAAGCTAAGGTGTTTTTGTTTTTAGCTTTTGTGATAAAAACCGCTTTACTCACAAGTCACAAGTGAATCACTCCCTAATACCCATTAAGAGATTAATTCAAATAGAAAGTTACTCACTCTGTCCTAATATACATGTACGATTTGAATTTTTTTCAAGTCAAATTAAATGAACTTCAATTATCAAGTACTTTCTATTTGTATTGCAAATTAATGTAATGAAATTTAATTTTGAAAGATATTAATAATATAAATCTAATAAAATAATTTTTTTAATAATATATATATCCTGAGTCCCAATTGTTTCTTGACATTACGCTTTACGATGCTTGACTAGTGTTTTTCAATTCAAATTTTTATGTAAATTGGTATATAAAATATCACATATATATAAACACACATACATATATTAAGAAAATAAGAGATGCCAAAACTATAACAATATATCAAATGATAGATGAAAAATGTTCAAACAAATTAAAGACAAAGTAGTTTGAACTTGTGAATCATAACTAAAAGTTCTTAATTCGCGACTTAACTGACTTGGACAATTCGGGAATAACGCGGGAAACTTGAAAACTTATAAGCGAATTACGTGGTCGGGAATAACTGACTTGGCCCATGTTCGTTTTTTTCCCCCCTTTTCTCTCCTAAATCACAATTTGAATTTGTTTGTCTTTTAATTTTCCTTTTATTTTAAATGTCAAAAGAGGATATAATATTGAAGTCGCTAGTTCATCCGGCGATCGCAGATCTCAAATCTTCGGATCGATCATCGTCGGCCGACAAAGTTCGAATTTCATTGGGAAAGACTTTTGCAGCGCCGCAGCGGAGGCGATCGTGTCAATCGCCGCCAGCTCGGGTCACCTCACGATCATCGCCGACGGCTCCAACTCCCCATCGACGATCGATCAGGACTGCCGGTTGAAGTTCACATACGTGCTTCTTACTTGCGGTGTTGGATATTTAAAAACTACTCCTTTCACTCTTAAAAAGCATTTTTTGTTTTGATTTCTTAGGTCTCATTCTTTACCACAAATTAAATACTACCTCCGTCCCAAAAAGATTGGTACATATTGACTTTTTGGGAAATTAAGAGAGAGATATTTTAGTTTTGACTTTCCAAAAATACCCTTGATGTGATGGGTGAAAGTATGATGTGATGGTAAGATTATTAGGAAAAAGGTATGATGTGATAGGTAGGGTATGAAAAAGTAAGGGGTAAAAGTGGTTTTTTAATACTCCGTAGAAATGTAATGGATTTTATGGGACACATTTTTTTCGAAACATGTCGGACTTTTTGGGACGGAGGGAGTATATTTCTGAATAAATAAATGATATAAAAATTTAATACTTTGTCCATCTTAAAATATTCTTCCCAATTATTATTTACACGGTCAAAATTTAATTATTCTATAAAATAATATGGTCTTGCCATCTCTTATTTTGTAGGACTTTTGATGAAGTTTTTTTTTAAATATATAAATTTATTTTTTAATTTTATGCATACAAACAAATAAATTAAATTGAAAATAAAGTGAATCAAACCTCCTAAACAAAAACAAAAGAATGTTTTAGGACGGAGGGAGCATATCAAAACTATACCTTAAAATGAGACCAATTATATTCAATTTAATTATTTCATAATTAAGTATATTTTTTTTTATAATTTGTAGTTAAAGTGTGTCAGTGTTTGCCCAAAAAAAGTCAAAAGAGGAAATATTTTTAAGATCGAATGGTGGAGTACGTCTTAAGTTATACGTACAAAACAAGTGCTGACAAGAATATTTATTTAGTGACGAAAAACACTTGTAAACAAAAAATATCATAGACTTGAAATACGAAATTATCAAAGATATGAGTCAAAGTATATATATCTTTTATCACCAAAATTGACGTGTTTGTATCTCAGCTCAAAAAAAGAATTTTTATTTTGATAATATGTTACTATATATTGATATTCCATATTATTTTTTAGTATTGTATATTTTTTTAGAATAAACACATGAAACTCTCATTTTGATATTTCCCATGTGTTTTACTTTTAATTTAATTTTTTTTCCTAATCTGAAATATTAAATACGAAATGTTTGTAGAGCTCAAACCCAAATGAATTTTTTTAAAAAAATTAATTTTTGGAATTGGGACCACTCAAGCTAAAAGAGAAACTTATATTTCATAATTTTAAAATATGAATCCCATACTTTTGAGTCTTGAGAAGTCTACTTCAATCCCAAACCGAATATTTTTAAAGTGCAGATTTTTTGTGCTCTTTTAAATGAATTGGGGTTGCGGTCAACTAGTCAAAGTACGGTCCCATTGTATTATTTGCAAAACCTATCAAAATTCAAAACCCCCCAAATTAGCATTATGGATTATGAGAAAAGATATGTTTTTTGTCCACTCCATGGACCCAACTATTTATATACTCTTATGTTATAAACACCACATTCCCCTCCCCTGCCTCACAATTAGCCTCTCCTTCTTGACTCATTTCAACAACAAAACCCCACTTGATTTCCACCAACACCAAATCACTTGACCCAAACACCCCTCCCATCCAAAACTCTCACATATAGTTTGTGCAATAGCATTCCACAATGGCTCGATCCCAACAACGCTACCGCGGTGTCCGACAACGGCATTGGGGTTCCTGGGTATCTGAGATCCGTCACCCGTTGCTGTAAGTTGTTTAAAGTTTCTATGCTTTTTTCAGTTTAACGGTTGTATGTGAAAAAAGTCGGGTTTTCTTATGGGCGTGTTTGGTTTGTAGGAAAATGAGAATTTGGTTAGGCACGTTCGAGACAGCAGAGGATGCCGCAAGAGCGTACGATGAAGCTGCGAAACTAATGTGCGGCCCGAGGGCCCGAACCAACTTCCCCTACGACCCAAACACGCCCCAAACATCCTCGGCCAAGTTACTCTCCCCAGCCTTAATAGCTAAACTACAAAAATGTTACCTTCAAGCTTCCCTTCAAGTGGAGAAAACATCGTTGCCACAGAGCCACCACTTGGAATCAGTCAATCCACCCGCTATTTCCGGACACCGGGACACAGATGCCGCCTTCTGGTTTTCGGAGAAAAAACCTCAAATAGCATTGCCACCGTCTGATTTGGAGCCGGTGGCAAATGCGAATTGGGCGGTCGGAGGAGCAACGGAAAACAACCGGAACAATACACAATTCCTAAAAACACTTGAAGAAGACCACATTGAACAAATGATTGAGGAGCTTATTCATTATGGAACAATTGAGCTCTGCTCTATGGGGCTTTAAACTATGTTGACCACATTATTCAAATAAGTGTCACTACGTTGTCTTCTTCAAAATGTCCGCTTATTTTGCCTCCGAAATCTTTTCTATTTTTTTAAATGGCATTTTCATCCGATTTGAACACTACTTTTAAATCGTTCATCTAGAAGCTGAGTCAAAGCCTATACAACAAATATAATAACTTCTAACATTTCGACCGTAAAAAGTTAAATTTAGACAAATAACAGAGATAGTAAAAATTGCTCGAATGAGCAAATATTTACCTATTATGGATAGGTTAGTTTTCCCTCTATTTCTAATAAGAAATTCCATGGCAAGTGGGAGGGTGATGATGATGTATCTTGTATGTACATTATACGGAGTATATACAGTTTTTATTGAAGTTGCAATATAATTGGATTTACTGAAGTTTTACCCACTACCTACATTTGGACCCGACCTAGGTTTTGCTCTTGACGACTTTGATTTGAGTGAGGACAAGTTTGTAATGAATTTTTTTTTGTTGATTTGTTTAATTAAATATTATAACTTATTGTAGAAATTTGTGTACAAATGTTCTCCCCCGGCTACCTTTCACTACTCACATCAAGTATATACGTAATGAGTAATGCTTACATGATTTCAAAGACCATATTTAAAAAATGGACCTTCTCATATTTTTGATGCATTTGTATGTGAATTTTTTTTTTAAAAGCCCACTTCTTTAATGTTACAAATGCACTAAGATGCATAAAATGAGCATAGACCTTGATTTTACAGAAGAATTTGCCATAGAATAATTACTAGTGAGCTTTAAACACAACCCCACTCACTAATATAAGCACATTTATTAATAAATAGGATAAAGCTATTTGTACCCCAACCTTTTGTACCCCATTTGTACACCGCAGCTTTGCACCAATATTTTGTGTTAGTGTAAAACTATTTTTTTGTTAACGCACCAACACTTTATGTCTGTGTAAATTTTTGTTAATGCACCAACACTTGTGTCGATGTAAATCATCAAAATGTTTGTGTATAACTACGGTGTACAAATGAGATACAATTTTTGGTGTAAGTGTAGCATAGTCCTGGTAAATACCCACCAACACTATCCTTAAAGCTAGTTGACACATGAATAATAGTATGAAGGTACTCCCTCCGTCCTATAATGATCTTTCCAGAGCACTATTCCAACTTCACGGGAATTTATATTTATTTGTGTTTTTTCATGGCCTATATGATAAAATAAAATATTCTTGTCACCACTTGTTTTGTTGAACTTTTGGTGTAGTTTTTAAATATGAATGTTTTATTTTTTATTTTTATACCAATATTTAAATAAAATAGATTGAAAAAACTTGGGATTTTTCTTCGTTTTGCGAACCGGGATGATCATTATAGGACGGAGGGAGTATTAATATAGATGCATGCAGCTTGAGATGCAAGCTAATGGTAGGCCAAGGGAGACAAGGCAAGTGAAATAAGGCTTAGTAAAGAGTGTACTTCCTCAATGACCGTCTGATCGGGCATGAGAAGACTATGATTTCCTAACAGATTTAATGCATATTTCTTTTGAATATTTTATTTTTATTCATTGCAGAATGCAAAATACTATCATGAATTTAAAAATTTTAAAAATAATGGTCATAATCAGTTGGATCGACCCGAGCCCGATGACACTGAGTCATGAACATGTAGTTCTAAATTCGAACCCGACCTGACCGGTCGATTTTCCAGCTCAAGTCTTAATACTAAGTTTTTTTCAAACAAATTTCAATCACATATTTTTCATTTTAAAACAATTTTTTTAAAAAAAATTGTGAAAAATGTAAATAAAAAATTGAATAAGAATAGCCAAGCCCATATTTAATACTCCGTCTGTGCAAGTTTTAAGCCCAATCGAAGTCAGCCCAGTGCAAAACGGTGTCCTTGAGTATCGTCTACCGAGTAACATCTGGAGAACTGAACTTGAGACTTTGAAACTCTTCTCTTCGGCGATTCTGCTACAGTGCCGCTCTGCGACTTGCCGCGGTCTTCCCTTTTTCGCCGAACAAGGTATGTTTCCCCATCTGACGATTTGGTCCGCAGATCAATTGAAATATCAGAAGCCAATCGTTCCATTCTCCTAGACCTAAGTAATTAATAGAAAAAAATTAGCAACCCATCGTTTCATTCTCGATGATTTGGTCCGCAGATTTAATGTGTTTATTCTAGACCACGAGTCTGCTGTTCGATAGTTCAATCGTCCTGCATTTTACAATTAGGACTCTAGTTTAGCAGTTTAAGCTTACTTTAAAGTAATTGGAGTGTTAAAGAAGGTAGGTTTGTTATATCTGCAATTCGACTTAAGTCTTAGGGTATGTTTGGTATACGAGATTGATGGAATTGAAATTGAATTGGGAGTTGAAATTCTATTAAATTGATTTGGATGGAATTGAGTTCTCAAATTCCCATTCATTTTTGGCACCACCAATTCCAAATCCACATATTTTTGTGTTACCAAACATCAGAATTGGAATTATTATCCTCAATTCCAATTCCATAGTTTTAATTCTGTGTACCAAACAGAGCCTTACTATATTGGAGCAATTAGCAATCGGAGAAGTTCAAGCTTACTTTAAATCTCCAATTGGAGTGTTGAATCTGCAATTGGACCCGAGCTTGTGACTTTTCATTTGAGAGTGTCAGAAACTCACAATGATACCGCTGAACCACATGATCTTTTACAAGGATAAGTATGTTATTTTAGTTGAAAGAGGAAATGTTTTTGGAATGGATACAAATGGGAAGCTGAGCGTTTTTTTGGACATTGTGTTTTTATTTGGAATTTTAAACTTGTTTCTTAGATATGAAATTTTCAAAAATGTAGACTACTAAAGAGGCGTTTTCTCTGTGTTGGTGCTTATTGGCTTATTTCTTACTATAAGCAGTTTTTAACTTATAAGATGCTTATAAGTCAAATATTCTTTCATGGAAGTAAAATGACTTAAATGATAGATAGTTGACTTAGAAATATTCATTAATGGTGAGGGACAGTTTTGTAAATAATTTGGTCAAAATGGAGAAACAAAAAAACTGACTTAAAAATAAGTAGCTAAAACCTACTTATTTTTTCTAGGTTATAAGCTGTTTATAAGTCAGCTTATAAGCACACACAAACATGTCATCAGCTGACTTATAAGTTAAAAAATACTTATAAGTACAGAGAAACACCACTAAATCCAGATAAAAGGAGTATACTTCAAACAAGGTAAATTCTTTGGTGAACCTAAAGTTTACAAAATATTACTGGTATCTTTTAGAGTGCAATGGGATGAAGGTATTAATATAGAAAAATGCTTTCTCAAGGTGCGATTCTGCTATTCAATAATTCCATCGTTATGCATTTTTAAATTAGGACTCTAGTTTAGCACTTTAAGCTTAGTTTAAATCTGTAATTGGAGCGTTAAAGAAGGTCGGTTTGTTATAAAGCAAATTCCCAAAATGATACTCAATAATTTTATATTTTTTCAAATTAGTCCCTAAAATTAATTAATCTCCGACATGGTACTCGTTAATTGAGAATAATACTCAGTTCAATCCCCCGACAAACGGCCGTTAAACCGGCGGTAAAACAACGTTAAACCTTAAACTATATTCTCAGAATGGTACTTTCTAACGGAGTGTTTTCTCAAATTAGTCCTTTTTCGAAATAAAAATACATTAATTATGGAAAAATATTTTAAATTTTATAAGATGACAATATAATACTAAAAAGTACAAACATAATTTTTTAAATTTGAAAGTAAACGTTTTAGATTATTTACAATTATTTAGAAGAATATCATTTAAATAAAATGTTAAGTAAACATTAAAGAAATCACCCTAAATAGGAGTATAATATAAAGAAAGTACCAAAATAGAAGTTTTCTCTATGTTGTACTCCTATTTATGGTCATTTCTTTAACATTTTATTTACATGATATTTTTCTGAATAATTGCAAATAATCTAAAAAGTTTACTTTCAAAATTATAAAATTATATCTATATATTTTAGTATTATATGGCCATCCTATAAAATTTAAAATACTTTTCATAATTAATGTATTTTTATTTCGAAAATGGATCAATTTGAGAAAACACCCAATTTGAGAGTACCATTTTGGGAAATTAGTATAAGGTTTAACATCGTTTAACGCCGCTAGTCGGGGGACTAAACTAAGCATTATTCTCAATTAACGAGTACTATGTCGGAAATTAGTTAATTTTGGGAACTATTACCATTTTGGAATATTAGTATAAGGTTTAACGTCGTCTAACGCTGGAAGTCGGGGGAGCATTATTATCAATTGACAAGTATCATTTCGGGAATTAGCTAATTTTGGGAACTAATTTGAGAAAATATATAATTTTTGAGTACCATTTTGGGAATTTACTCGTTTGTTATATCTGCAGTTCGAGCAGTTCACTTTAAGTCTTACTATAATGGAGCAATTAGCAATCGGTGCACAGTTCGAGCTTACTTTAAATCTCCAATTGGAGTGTTATATCTGCAATTGTAGATTTGCAGGTGACCTCCCTAGCCCCCAAATTCAAAGAGACTGTAGTTTAGCCCCCAAATTTCCTTTTAGTAATCAAATTTATTTTATTTTTAGTGATTTTTGTTTTTAAAAACCTACCAAAACTGATTTCAATGATTTTCTATTTTCAATGCTCGTGGACTGAGAGAAAATTGTGCCTACATTGTCCAAAAAAATCGGATGCATTTCCCGATTTATGCAGGAAAATTGGCAGCTCATTTAAGCCAATTTGCCAAAATGTGACTGCATTTATATATAATAGATTTTGCAATTTTTTTGAATCAAAATTTAAGATTTTTAGTTTTATTTATAGGAAGTGCTAGATAATGCAAATCATGCCATATACTGAATGGAGAGATATACTAGTGTGTAGTACTTGATTGAAAATGGAACTAAGAAGAATAATGGTATTAATGTGTTATGCTAGCAAGTAGAAACAGCCTTGATGGTGGAGAAGTTGATTTAGAACATTACGATTATAGCCATTACATTACCAGTTATGACCAGTAATTCTAATGACATTTTAAGGTTTTGTAAGATCAACCCTAGAATTGCTTCTGCCCTCTCGTTTAGTGTTTTGTTGTGGGATAGTAGCACCATAACTTTTTCTTATCAATTTTTGGAAACTTTATTCGTTTGCCTGTGTCATTGTGACTGTTAGATGTTGTTGATGTGAGCATGGTAGTTTAAGAACTTGTTTGAATGTCGTTATTTGTTTGTGGAGTGGATAACTTCGGACATAATAACAATGACATTCATGTGAAACATTTTAGTATGTTCCTTCTTAACTTAAGAGGTCCGAATGTTTTAATGTCAAAACTTATACTCTTAAATGTAAAACGTGCTCCCCAGCGGGACTCATTCTCATTTGGCATTTTTGGTTTGGTTTTGTTTATGTTTCAACTTCTAATATAGGCTAAATGAGTATCTTTTGAACACGCAGAACTGATAAAGAAAAGTGTTGACCACCATGGCTTCGTCGTACCTTCCTGCGACAACAGACTCACTCATTCAGGCTTCCGAGGCAAAAAATCCATCTGAGTCCCTCTCTGTCCTCTATAGCATCCTCAACAACCCTTCATCATCTTCTGATCCTTTAAGGATAAAGGAACATGCCATCTCCAAACTTTCTGACCTGCTAAGACAAGAGAACAGGCCTGATGATCTCAGAAACCTTCCCAACCAACTGCGACCCTTCTTTTCTTTGATACCCAAGGCAAAAACCGCCAAAATTGTCCGTACTATTGTTGACACATTGGCCAAAATACCTGGCACATCTGAGATTCAGATCGCCCTTTGCAAAGACATAGTCCAGTGGAGCCGTGATGAGAAACAGACCTTCCTTCGCCAAAGAATAGAGGCTAAACTTGCTTCACTGTTGATGGAAAGCAAAGAGTATGCCCAAGCATTGACTCTCCTTTCATGTCTTATCAAAGAGGTAAGAAGATTGGACAACAAGCTTTTGCTCGTGGAGATCGACTTGCTAGAAAGCAAGCTTCATTTTGCGTTGAGAAACATTGCAAAAGCAAAGGCTGCCCTGACCGCTGCCCGAACTGTGGCTAATGCTATATATGTGCCTCCAGATCAGCAGGGCTGTATAGATCTGCAGAGTGGTATTCTCCACGCAGAAGAGAAAGACTATAAAACAGCTTACAGCTATTTTTACGAAGCTTTTGAAGCTTTTAATGCTCTTGAGGACCCACAGGCGATATATAGCCTCAAATACATGTTGCTTTGCAAGATCATGGTTGGCCTAGCAGATGATGTGACAAGCATTATATCATCACCTAAGGTTGGGTTGCAGTATCACGGACCAGAGCTGGATGCGATGAAAGCAGTTGCTGATGCTCACTCGAAACGGTCTTTGAAGCTGTTTGAGATTGGGCTTAGGAATTTCAAGGTACAGCTGGGTGAAGACCCAATTGTCCACCGCCACCTGTCATCACTCTATGACACACTGCTGGAGCAAAACCTCTGCAGGCTGATTGAGCCATTCTCAAGAGTCGAGATTGCCCGTGTTGCCGAATTGATCGAGTTGCCAGGGGAACACATTGAGAAGAAGCTGTCTCAGATGATTTTGGACAAGAAGTTTGCTGGAACTCTTGACCAGGGCACCGGATGCCTTGTCATATTTGATGATCCGAAGACGGATGCCATATATCCGGCTACGTTGGAGACCATCTCAAACATGGGCAAGGTTGTCGACAGTCTTTTCCTAAGATCTGCGAAGATTATGGCTTGATTCGCGATTTCAGGCAGCATATATATCAGGATTTCAGGTTTTTTTTGGGTTAATTACTTGACCTCTTATGGCGACTGGTAACAATTATACATTTGAATTTATGGCCTCTTTGCATTCTATGTTGAACATGTCTGTTATTATGGTTAAAACATCATTAGTTATCACAGTAACTTCTTTATTTACATGACTACCACTACTCTACTATTTATTATCCTTCCTTGTATCCCATGGTGAAAAGTAAAATCTTCTAAGGGTGTGTTTGGAAAGAGGTGTCATAGGTCATAGGTGGAGGTAAATGTCAACTTCAACATTCCAAATCATGGCTAATAAAATGACATGTTATTGACTAATTTTGTCACACACTGTTGATCTTCTTGGTCTCTGCATCTTTATTTGGTCAATAAGGTTGACCGTATATATAGTGGTCCACTTTCCTATCCTAACATTTCAAAAACTAGCCTAGCCAGTCTTAACATGTTCTCGGTCACTGCATCTTTATTCGGTCAATAACATCTTTTTGGAAAGTGTTTTAACATGAAAAATGTTAGAATAAAATATTATGAGTCACACGTTCTTTACTACTTGGGTATATTAAAAAAACCCAACCAGTCCAACCATACATCATCAAACTTATCTTTTACATTTTATCATTAGAGAAATTCTTATGTGGTCTTAAAATCCACACTCATTCAGTCATTCTATGAATCTTAGTACACAAATATTATGAAAGAGTTGGACTTTTTATAAAACAGAAAAGATCCACTTGTAAATATATAAAAAATGGGAAAAAGTCTATATTTCACATGTGAACCTGCAACTCTCCTATTGACCATTGAACTTGCTACTACACATTTATTTTACCCAAATTCAAACTACACTCAAGACACTGCAACAATATGATTTTGCATTTGTTAAGAACCATTACAATCTGGTCAATGTCAATTTAATCCTTGTCGTGAAATATTACACAACACTACAAACACAATTCTTGACATTCTCTTCCAAAAAAAATGAAGACAGAAATCCTTCCTATGACTGAACATGTAGTCATGGATCTTAAAAACGCTCGAAGTCTTCTTCTTTGTTGATACAATTTGTATTACTAAAAAGAATATAAATGCAAAAAATACTAGTAGTACAACTCGTGAAGATCACTTATTTACAATATTTTAAAAGGAAACAAAAAAAGAAAGAAAGAAAGAAATAGGCCTCCCTACTACATGAAGTTCTTCATCCCCTATAACCAAGCAAATGTTTTGCCCATCTTCTTGCCATGAAAGGGTCATGGTGATAGTATTCCAAGCTGCTCTCAACGCCGCTGCTTGGCCTCCTTTCTACAACGCCGCCGCCTGTGCTGCGGTGGCTGCCGCCGCCTTCACTGCATTCTCTTTTCTCCGGAATCCCCACCGCAACCTCCCCCGTCTTCACACAAGAGTCGCCAAACTCCGCCTCCTCGTAGCTGTACTCCACCCGAATCCGCCCGGACTCGCCAAGATTCACCGGAACTCTCCTCTCCTCCCCGCCTCTGATCTCCCCCAGCCTCATGATCCTCGAGTCCTCCCCCACCCTCACCTGCACCTCTCTGACCGAACCGCCGAGAATTCTCCCGAGAAACGCCTCGAACTCGTGCATGGCGAACCCGAACCCCACGTGAAAGTTGTGGGTTGCGGGCCCCACCGCGCCACTACCGAACGGACGTCGGGCGCTGTCATCTTCGTCGCCGTCGGAAAGATGCAACATTAGAGTGCGAGCGTTTCGGCGGTGCGTACGGTCTCTCAGTATCTTGGCCCCTTCCGTAACCCCTTCCTCGGGGTCCACTTCCTCGGCGTAGAAAATCCGGTCGACGAGTTGTAGAGTATCGCGCTTCCCGTACGGCGTCATTCGCCTGAGAGGGAAGACGCGCGGTTCCGCGGACGAATGCGTCACGATGGCCAACCGGTCCGCGGGTCCCAGCGCAAACACGACGCGCGCCATCGCTTCCTTCATGAGCGTCACGTAGTGGGGCCCGCCGGGGCTCGCCACCAGGACCACGTCAGTGGCCGGGTGACGGTGACGAGCTAGTTTCACGGAGAGGCACGCCGCTCTATTGTTGGCCCGAGGCGAAGTTGTCAAGGAGAAATGGAGTCTGGGGAGGCCAGATGTCGAGGGGTCATCGTTTTCGTAATGGGGTGAGCTTAGAAGAAGGGAACGGCGCCTGTTGACCCTAAAAGTGGCAATTGATTCGTCGAGAATCTGTAGGATAGGATCACCGCCTCGTGAACAATGGGCTGTGGCCCGCAGGTTGCGGGGGATCTGTGTCCAGAGGGCACGGCAGATGGGGCAAGAAACGCTGCCGTGTCTTACGTTTGAAGATATGCAATCGAAGTGGAATGCGTGGGAGCATTGTGCTGTGAAGATGGCCTGCCCATTGCTCGAGCTAAAAACCAATGGTTCCAGGCAAATGGCGCACAGATTCTGTACCACAATCAAAAGAACAAAGGTTTAACTTATTTCAAGAAAACTCAAGTCTTAATAGTAACAAGAATGGACAAATTGCAGCTCAAAGAAAATATCCACTGTCATTTAGGATGCCAAGAGTTGATCATTTTTTCAAGAACATATATGGTCCAAGAGATCAAGGAGTAGAGTAGAATTCTTTAAGTAATTTGGAAAAGTTTATGGCAATACTCCCTGAAAAAAAGTTGAGATTTTACACAGATTATCATTGGTGCTCCTAGTTTTTACATATTTTGATGCAAATACTTCAAGATTGCAAATTGATTCAAGATACTCATGAAAAAAAATGGAGAACCAATCTACAATAAAATTGTGATAATAATAATGTAATCTTGGAGTTTTCTTGCAAAATATAACTATTTTTGGGATTTTTTTCATGAATTTTTCTTCAAAAGGAATTTGAGATGGATTGTTCAAAGCAATTTCAATGATATGAGGATTGAAGGTTTGAAGCTTGACAATGGTGCAATTGAGAATGTGCATTTTTTGTTACCTTATTAGAAGAATTGGAATCTGATTGGGGTGCAAATTTGGAAGGTGTAACTGGGGGAGAATCGCTCGCCGGCTCTGCGACGACCGGAGAATCAAGAAATGCCTGCCGGGAAAGAGAGTTCAGAAAAATGAAAATTAATGCAATTCCACACAGACCCAACCGAATTCTGCAATTGGGTATCTCTAGAAACAGCAAATACCGATGTAACGCCGGAAAGACCACCGGGAAATGATCCCGGCGGACAGCGGGAAATAGAAAGAGGGCGGCTTACACTAGCTGCGGCGGCGATGGGGGTGTCGACAACAACAGGGGAGTGGCGTCCCCGGGAGAAAGAGCCACCGCAGGTTCGGAGAAGGAACTTTTTGGCGGCTTTCCTGAGCTTCCACGACAGAGACGGTCCTCCTCCGGTGGACATTCCGGCGGCCGGAGATGAATCTTCCTTCACACCTGCCAAGTTGGGTGCCCCAATAATTGAAATGGGTTTGTCAGATCAGCATATAATTGCAGTAACTATTCCAGGTGAAATACAAGCTCTGGGGCCGGGCTGGAGCATAAAGATTTGCCCTTTTTCTTTATCTTTTTTAAAAGCATCTTCTTGTTCTATGCCACCCCCACAGTCCTTTTCCATCGTCATTGTTCTATGCCACCCCACCCCTTGGGTCCACAACATGCATTCGCTTTGACACGGTCTTTTCAGAACCGGCGGGACAGTTATCTAAACCGAAGTAAATTTAATTATAATCACTCGAGTTCGATTCCGAGCCGTAACACTTTTAACAAGGGACGCAAGAGGTGTATCACAAAGTTCAATTTCTGACAATAACGCTAGTAAATAACTATATTAAATATAAGATCTCTGATCAGTTTCTGGGGTGGGTCCTAAAAAAACGGGGCTCATCCTTAAAAATAAAAAAAAGAACCCTCACCCTGAGGGTCTCCCACACCCATGATGCGGGTTGTTAGACGAGATAAATTACTACGTACAAGATGTTTTGTTTTAGTTGGTCAGTGTCGCAAAGTTATCAAGACTTTCACAGTTTCAGCATATAAGAAATTCATTTTTCAGAACCTCCAGAGTGCAAGATGCAAACAAGATTGTCACAACAATACTTGGGATCTTTACTAAGTGAGTTGTGCCCGTGGGGAGATATATTTTTCAAGAATACACCTAACACTCATTCTGGTTCCTCTAGAGGCACTATTAATCAATTTGGTCGACGTATATTAGGTTGAATCAAACTACTTCTCGTAATTAGAAAATGTGAATCAAATATTCCTTGTAACTAGAAAAATTTTATCCAAAACGCTAACGTTAATCTCTAACGTTATTCCCACACAAACCCGATATCTACAAGAGTTTCAAAGAATGTACGGTTACCAAATGAAGCTCCATTAACTAACAATTACTTCTTTGTTTGGAAAGACACTTCTTTTATTTTTTTCCTTTCCACCAAAACACTTCCACTTTTTATTAAAAACTATTTTTACCCATATTTTTTCTTACCCTACATATCACATCATACTTTTTCTCTAATAATCTATCTATCACATTTTACTTTTACTCATTACATCAAGGATAAAATTGAAAGTCAACTATAATTTTACACTTATTTATTTTAGCATTTGGTCAAAATAGAAAATGTTTCCAGAAGTATGCTATTGTAAACATTGTTCATCATTCATTGTCTGGTCATTATCGCTTTCGAACATGTCTGTACGGAGCTTTATACTATTCTAAAACTAAAACATGTTAATATCTTACTAAATACGGAGTATGTAATTTCTAACTAAAATCTATGTTTAATCTTTAGAATTTATTAATAGGTCAATTGATGCTTTTTCTAAGAAGAATACTCTGATTTGCTAGTCAATGAATCAACTCAACAAAAAACTCAAATTAATAATTGTAGAACCACTAGAGGATCTTATATTCTTATACACACTTCACGTGCAGACAAGATACTTTTTTGCTTGAGCCAAACATTATTTTTTAAAACTGGGCAGTGGTGAAGTTCAAATATGTCACATATTGGTCAACAAAGCTTTGATATCATGTCAAGAACTTAATAAAAAAAAATCAACAAAACTCCAATATCATGTCAAGAAATCAACTCAACCAAAAGGTCAAACGTATGCTTGTTAGCCCGAGAATGGTTTTTAAATTCTAACGGTTGGAAATCTGTGTCAACAAATTTAATGTTTCATATTTTTTTAACAAATTTAATATAAAATACCTTGAAAATGTTAAACCTAAACAAAGCTATTAAATACTCCCTCCGTCCAACAATAAAATTCTCATTCACTATTCACAAGGTCAAACTTTATTCACTTTGTTGGTCTGTTTTTGTGTCTTATTTGATAAAATAATATAGTCATGTCACCTCTAGTTTTGTAAATCTTTTCATGTAGTTTTTAAATATGTAATTTTTATTTTTTAATTCCATACCATTTTTCATATAAAATGATTTGAAAATAATTTCAGTCAAATATCGTAACGCGCAATGGGAACTTTATTTGTGGACGGAGGGAGTAACTTTTTAAAAAGCTAAAGTTTAAACACTCAAATCATTGTCAAAGAGACACTACATCTACCATATGAGAACCAGACCATGGTCTATAGTTGAAAGTTGAGTCCAAGAGCGGGCAAGCCATTCAAAATGGCAACGCCTAATCTCATAAAGAAGCAAATCACACAAAAACAAAAAATGGAGGATTTGGATTGTTCATGGCGCCTCACCGCAGTGCTTTTGTGCTGCTCAAGTCTTTTTCTTTTTCCTTTTTTTATTTGTTTTTGTCTTTTTGACCAAGAGATTTTTCCCATTATATACACTAATATTATTATTATTATTATTATTATTATTATTATTATTATTATTATTATTATTATTATTATTATTATTATTATTAAAGTAGAAAATGCTCTGAGTAGGAGATGAAAATTATGACAAATATGTTATGATGGCTACTTGAATCCCTTGATTCGAAACAACTTTGTGCACTTTTGACTAAAAAAATCACAAGAGTGTAATGTATGGAGACTTCAAGCTCCCATGTGATTCATTCTCAGGCAATAGTTATGTGTGTACTTTCCATTTGAATAAGTCACGAGTATCACAATCCGTAACGTGAATGCCTCACACAAATATGCATATGATTCACTAAAAATATCACACGTTGTGTCAAGATTTCTTTTGAGCTTCATACACCCTTCAAATTCCTTTCAAGTTACTTCATACATTTCCATAGTGTTACTTTGAGCGTCTGTTTGGCCAAAGAGCGTGGCCGACAGACTGTTAGTATCCCAAAGGACGTCTGTCCTTAATCCTTGTGGTGATTCTCTATACTATTTTGAACAAATGAATGTATTTTAGCATAAAAGAATAGAAATAGAAAAGAGAGACCAGTTGATCGTTTACAAAATATATCGGCACCTAAACATTAGCCAAACAATGATCAGAAAGGACAATTGAGATTTTAAGGGCAGATTAACATGCTAACTCTAATCCTCCCTTGCAAAATGTGTGTACATATATATACGTAAAGAATAGAGTTATAAAAAAAATGGCACGTGAACCAAAGTCAAAGAAACAAATAGAGCACGAACGAACCTGAGAGCTAAGATGTGGCAGCAGTTGAGATTGGAAGTATGAATTAGGCATTTCAATTGCTACTTAAAGAATTAATGTTGCACTCCCGCAAAAATTCGTGATCATAATCAATAAATCTTGACCAGTAATTTCGGAACTTTGGGATGCTAATCTCAAGCCATGGCTTCAAGTTCCCATTGTAATGTATGACTGCAGCTCTTTCAATGTCTTTCAGACTTACATTTGGGTTGTAGCCAAGGCCCAAGACATGCCACGATCGATCAAGAGCATATGTATGATTCCAAAAGGTAATCAAACCGGGCGGGAGGGTTCCCAACTTCCACAATTGTCTGTTGTTATTCTGTAGTATAATGTTGGAACACTCTATCAGAACTGACCCAATTACCCAAACAATCATTAGGATAATTGCATACAAAAAGGTGAAAAGCAGAGAGAAATAAAGATTACCATTGATATAAGTTAAGGAAATGCAGAATTTCGACAACTGAAACCCGGATAAACTATACATAACTTTATTGATTTCGGAATTCAGACTATATATTGTAGTGTGCCCAATAAATTGTGAGCTACTTTTAAAAATTTTAAGTGGTAATAAAGTGACGAGTCAGACTATTGTGTTACAATTACACTTTGCTCACTCTTTTGTTCATGCAAAACAACTTACCAAACCTTGCTCGCAAAATAAAATGAAAAAGTTAAGGGCAGAGATTAACAAGTGAAACCAACCCATCCAAGCAGAATCTAGGGATCTCCCCAAAAAACAAACTCCCAGTCATTATATGAAAATGCTACAGAAATTAATTGAAGAAAAAGCAACTTAGACTAATTGGGGATAGTAGATGTTCATGCTTTAGACATATGTAATTTAAAACCCTTAATAGGCTAGCTATGAAATAACAGAAAATACAAATGTTAAAAAGCTCTTTTGTGACAAGGAAAATGTATGCTCCCTCTTGGTCAAAATAAGTGTCACTTTGGATGATAAATATTAGTTTATGATAAGTGTTTCTTTATGAAACCAAGACAACATTCAATCAACTTTTACCATATTTGCCCTTCTTTGTAAAACCAAGTCAACCTATAAAATGACTGTAGGTGTATTTTTAGAAGGGTGATATTCTAAAACATCCATTTGATGATTCCTTAATCTGCATAATTTCATCTAAACTGACACTAATTACGAGCAGGAGGGAGTAGATAATAGGCTTTGTTGAAAAAATCATTTCCTTACCAAGGTCTGCCAGGAATGATACACCTCAGTGATATTTCTCCTTTTCCATTCACTCAAGTCAAATATATTCATTCCAAAAGCCCAACCACAGGCATGAGGGTCAAACTTTTGGGAAATCATAGGATTTGAGAAGTTGAGATACCAATCAAAACGATGGAAATTTTCTCCACACGTCTCAACCACACTAACAACTTTACCTTTCATATTAAGAGACCAAAGGGCAGTAAGATCCTTTTGAACTACTATATCATCATCCAAAAATAGAACTTTGTTCAGTTTAGGAAAAATCTCGGGTATGTAAAAACGAAGATGATTCATGATTGAGAGGTACTTCGGATTTCTATACTTCATGTTTGAATCACTATCTGCATTACGAGCCTTGAAGTAATAATTAATCATGGAAGGAGTGCCCATTTGCTTGAGAACCGGACTGTAACTTGAATTTAACCACGCGAAGTCCTCCACATTCTGAACTTCTATTGTAGCATTCTGTGGTGGGTTTATCAAAAACCACATTCTCATAGAAGCAAAATTAAGCCTGTCAGTAACTATGTGGAAAACATGCTCTGAAGGATCCTGCACAGATATTATAGGGGTAGTTAAGACTTAAGGAAAGACTATAAGATGGAGGATACAAAGTGA